TTACTTATCCTCAGTCAGTGAGCTCTCGAGAGAGCAAGCTACGTAACTGTCGTGATGTGATGCCATAACCATACTGAACCGGCATCCAACCCACAGAATTACGCTGCTTCTTTCTGACTCTTCGAGCTCTCATACCTGTTGGTTATTGCACGCACTGAGAGACTGATTGACGGGTCTGTCATTCTAACCAAGTTGTGGCTATTTCATCCTCTATTTGGATAGCGAAGTAAATTTATGCGGATGGCTGCAATCTGGCCTTCGCACCAGATCGCTGCACGGCCTGAAATCAAAGTGACAGTATTCTACTCTTCTTGATCTGTCTCTGTTGCTTGAACTGGGTAGTTTTATCGGTACTCAGTTTTGCACCGTTTCCTCCTACGACCTCCCTGACTGAACCGCTTGCGCACCAGCCTATATTCGAATCCACTGGCTCTTTGGATAATTTGGGTTCTCCATACTCGATTTGTGCGGAGGTGGGAGAAAGTGTTTTTGCTGGTGGCCGGGCCGACTTCTATACCTGATTGTTAGTGCGTCGACCACATTTCAGTCTGCTGTAGGCGTCCGGAACATACTGAAGTAACCGATTTTCCCGGCAATTTTAGGTCTGATAACCAATATCGATTATGTAAACTTTGGAACTTCTGTCACACGTAGATGGGATGCCAGATGGATGTTTAGCTTCTTCAGAAGTACTGTGTTTGAACGATCTTTGTGAGCGGGTTCAATCTCAGTTAGTGGCCGCTTACTACCCACGGTCTTCACCGATGCGTTTACCAAGGATATAATGTAACTGGTCCTTTAAACCTATATATTTCTAAAGTCTTAACCGAATGTTTTGATGAAACTCTTCCTGGCTCCCACGTACTTGATCTTTCGAAAATAAGATTCTATCTTCACAAACTGCGCGTCATATCAATGATGTGCCACAGGATTCGGCCGGGCATAAGTCGACTTTAATAATTTAGTTATCTGCTGAGTGTTTCAATAAATTTCTGAGTGAGGTTTCCTGCGTTCTTTTTCATGCTATGAATGGCCCACCTACAAAGCACGCCTTGTGACCGCAGTGTTCGGTCGATTATCATTTCGATAATACAGCTGGTGCCAGATCTACTTGAGTTGCATGATGGGGCGTCTCCACATAATCACCGTCATGATCAGCTGTAAAAGCCGCGTACTTCCCGTAAAGTGTTTCTAGGTCCACCAACGATCTGGGGAAGTGGGGTAGACAGGTACGCATTGGAGGCGGGAGCTGATATAATTGATGCGTAAATACGGGATTGTCAGTGGACTTTCAAGTGGGGGGATCGGTGCGACTGGGTCCTGTCTGACAATATCTCTAACCAGTGATGTATCCCGTCTTGGAGTCTTCATTCAGGATGACGGCAATGACCATTGCGGCTGAGTTTGCTGTGTAGAATGCACGCTATGGAAGCACCAGGGCATAGTGATTCTCCGAAGGCAGAGGTTCACAACACAGTTGTAAATGAATTTTATCTGTTCGATGCTATAGTTAGCCTTCGCAGCCCGAGTACACACGCAGGCGGTTCTAGGCTGTAAGTTGACTTGAAAATCATACTTGTTAGATGTCTTCCTATAGTTATTCTCATTTGCAAGACCACCACTCTGACTTTCCTTGTGAAGGTAGCGGGGCTAAAATTGACCGTATGGTTGTCACTGGGTACTTTTCCGCAAATAACTTGGTATATTTTACCTGAACAGTCGTTTTGTACCTTTGTAGGTCGTACGGGTCTTTATTCTTCGGAGGATTCTATGTTCGATATGATGACATTAATTCAGATAGAATTAAATGTATGTACACTGAATTTACCACCATGCACTGTAGACCGCCAGAACGCCACAACCTTCAAAGTTGTTACGGTTGAGGAGGCCGGGTAAAAAGAGGAATGTGCCGGATTCTCATCTGTTTTCCAGTTGATTGTTTTACCCAGGTTGAACGGATGGAGTTAGGCTAGCTAATCATCTGTTTGGAATAATCCGAATCTTATTCGCCCGACCACCTGTTCCTCCGACGTTTGGAATATTTTTTCCTGAAATCCTGCCGCTGCCGTTTGTTCCTCTTTGTCTAGTTTTGTTTCGCTTCACTGACGGAGCCTCGAATTTTTGCTTAATTTAGAAACACTATACACGCTGCGTAGTTTCGTCGAGTCTGAACTCCATGGCTTACGACATCTGTGTTCTGAACAGCACTGTAATGTATGCATTTGTATGGTTCAATCTATCGTAGTTGGACTTCGGGAACTAACTCATTCTCACTGGATAGTCTCGGGTCTTCTGATTGTTGTGGTTCCTATCGGGTGCACGCATGGGAGAGACTGTTGGAATTTTTGGTTATTCACTTCACTGTCTACACAAGATCGTACAACCATTAATCATGGCTTGTCCCTTTATTTTGTATTTTCGTTACTTGCTCTTATTAATTTGTTCGTGTTGTTTACATACCCACTCACGGACTTTCCATCATCGTCATCATCATAATCATCAATAGCACCGCACTAGTAGTACGTATTGACGCTTAACTTCCATTTAACCGTGAACTGACGACAGTAATAAACGATGTCAAGAAAAGGAAGGTATGCGGGCATAGTATGAAGAAGCCTTGTGGAAAACGGCCTTAACAGGACGCTTATCCCACTAAATGGTAGCGAACTAAAGCACTGAGCATCACGTTGGATTAAGACACCATCAGTTCAATTGGATTGGTATTTTTTGCGAGTCCTATCTGACACAGGCCGAGCACACACTGGCAGACGAACTTTGGCTAGGCGGTCCGATTAGAAATTGGTGGCATGCTCACCACTGGGCTCGGGTGCGTATCACTTCTAGTAGGGCTCCTACTACGTATAAGAAGAATCACGTGGACCTCAACCATATGGGCGGGAAGATCCCACAACACCGCCACGTCATGATCCATCCTACACAACTTTCCGGCGGAAAAAGTTTAGTTTGAAAAAGTGCATCTGTTAGGCAGTAGTTGAACATGCTGATAATTCATAATCCTGATAAGTTATGGTTACACAGTCCACGCGTGCGTTACACGTCATTCCGCAAACGATGCAGCCATCTAACTCCTGTTATACTACGAAGGCCTCAGTGATGAACTGTTTGAAGGCGTTTGAGATTTTCAGATCAGAGGGGCAACTTTCGTAACCGTAGAGTAACACTGCTCCTACACTTGTCCTCTCTACACGGTCTTTCGGCTTTGTTGGGATTCATTTTCGACGTCAAAAATGAGGTAAGCTGGCGAACATTGCTGTTTGGGCTGTCAGACGTAGTGGAGTTTGCATAACACAAATGTGGCCAGCCATCGCGCGGGGATCATCAGGCACTCGAGAATGGAAATGTGGAACATCTGGTTTTGTCTTAATCGGCTTCGGGTATATGGGGGAAGTTGGTTTTCGTATGTTTTTTGGGCTGCATTATACATTGATAGAAATAGAAGACAAGTTTTCGAGTTGCCTTTGTTGGCATTGAGAATGTACATTGAAAGCTGTAAGATGTATCGTGTGTTTTGAGTTTAGTAGGGAATCATTTCGGTTTGTCTTACTGGATGATAGATTAAACAGAGGAGACTGGTTAAGGGACAGTCAGATGGATCGGTCGCAGTGTTTGGGTAGGGGCTTGTGTAAGGGCGGATGAACGACTGACTGCAAGTGCAAATGGTACATTTTGATTGTTCAGACTGAGGATAGGGGTCTTTTTGAGGTGGCTTGCTTTGTCACTTTGATGTTAGAATTTGGTGACCAAGGCAATGGGTGATTTAAGGCTTTTGTTCCGGTAGACCGACTTTGGTTATTAACTGGAAAGTGTTACCCTCAAGACAGCGTTTTTTGGGTCCACTGCTGGTAGCCGATGATTCAGTAGTTTGATCCGGTTGAATTTGGGTAAGTGGACTAGGCCATGGACGCAATAGGTAAACCTAGGTGTCTCGCTTCGAATGCTGCTTTGAGAGGGGTGTCAAACTGGAACTGGATGGTATGGGACTTCTGGATGAAGTATCAACCAACCTCCAGGACTAGGACACCATTCATAAGACCTCTATTTGTTGACCAATCTGACAGGTGGTACTGTAAATGTGGTACGGGTATCCTGTACTGTAGCTAGGTGCGTTGGTGAGCTACACGAACCGTCCAATCTCTATAAGGTCCTTCCGCCTGCTTGCTTCCTCGCCTCCTCGCCTGTTTACTTAGTCAGTTAGTTAGTTAGTTACTTACATACCTGCTTACTTGTTAGGAAAGTTTCCCCAAGACCGATAACGGAAATTAAATTGGATGCTGTTTAACGATGTGACGTGCGAGGATACATCCCCATCTCTGGAGTCCATGTGGTTATCCTTTTATCTTATGTTATCTTACTTTATCTTATCCTTCCTCTTCTTTGTGGCCCTCCCAGTATATGGGACAGTGACATTTCAAATCGACGTTATTTGTTTGAAAACGTCCATTTCATCAATAAGGTATCACTCATCCTCATCCACATTTTCGTGGTAAACTGATGAGATTGAATGTTTATAAGCCCCAAACAGAAACAGAAACAAGAGTCTGTGAGCCTGTCACCTTGATTCCTTAAAATTCGCACTCCCACTTGACGAACATTTAGCTAGAACTGATTGTTGGTTTGAAGTGGACCGTTTACGCAAGTTAAGCTATCAATGTTAGCCTTGTTAGCAGAATATGAACGACATTCAGATGAAGGATAGCGACTGTGCGCCGTCACCACTGCTGGAGCAGTTATCTTCATTTCACTGAAAAACTTTCGACAGGTTTTGCCCTTTGAGGTAAACCAATTCGAAGTGAGAAAGACGGCAATTTCACCATAAATTATCAATGAACCTGATGTCTAGGCTTTCGGTTTATTTGAATGCGCTGCGCATTTAATACGGTTGTTAGTTTTCGCAATGCTAATTCCACTCACAGAATACTTCCTAGTCTCTTGGTTGATACGCTTTTACCGTAACCAAAGCATGCATCGCCTCTCTTTAGGGGTGATCGACTTTCCCCTGGGGACAGCAGTCGCAGTGTACAGACGCGATCTTCCACTCGTGCAGCTTCTGCAAGTGTCTCGAGACAAACGGAACAAACTAGCGGTGAAATGGCATGTTCGGACAGCGACCAACCCAAACCTACCGCGAATCACAATTCCGTCGCGAATCCACCACGTTCCTCAACCGAGATTTCACGTAAACGTCCCTCGTTCAACACAATGCTTGATGATGTGGAGTGGACCTGCGATCGAAAGAAAAGCCTACTCGAGCCAAATCAAACGCATCCCCTGGTTACTACTAAACATTCTGATCCTAGTGCTGATTCGACGGACTGTAGCGCGTCTTCCGATNAAGCTACTCGCTTCAATTTTTCGGCAGATTCACCTTTATTATCCACTTTGACCGAAACTGTGGTGGCCGAAGCGAAAACGTACGACGTTGACCTGAAGGACGATGATCGTTTTGCAACGAAATCAGAGGGCATTGTAAACTGTGAGACCACTCTGGGCCGGGAGGAACTATGTGTGCAACGAAATCAGAGGGCATTGTAAATTGCGAGACCACTCTGGGCCGGGAGGAACTATGTAGTTCGCGATCGGACGATCGAAAATGTTCTCCAAGTGGGTTCTTTCAAAGCCACTCCGGTTCTGTGTCCTTGATAAAGAAAGAGCTGGAGTCGGAAAATGGAGGCCTCTGTTCACCTGGCCTCAGGGTAAGTGTTTTTGTATGCTCATTCACGTAAAGTTCCGTTAAAGTGCGCTCGTCAAAGTAAGGCGTGAACGTCGTTACAGAGATGTTTTGAAAATATTCCTTGAGTAATACGTATTGTGAACCATTGGAACGGTGGTCTCTCACAGTGTTTCGCAACGATGTCATCTAACCTGTGTATTTTGAGCCATCTATTCCCATATAAACTTTTACTCGACTGGACATCTATTGCCGGTCAATGAAATCGAAGACATGTGTAAGTGAATTGTATTCTCCTATAGTATTTGGTCCAGTCATATCTCTAGAAACAATTGCCCAATGTTTTACAGGCTTCTACTTGTGTATATTCCCACTACACCACGAGCTGTATCGAACGACACCCATATACAGGAGCCCCGTAATTTTCCACAGAGTGAATCTCAAAAATGGATACCCGGAGCGGAAAAATTTACCTGTTGTCACTTTTCCACTATTCGAACCCAAGTATTACTTCAGAGTCGCAAGTAATCGGCATCCCTCAAATGTTCATCCAAATACATTGGTCTCACTGGATATGTTCTAGTCCAGTTCATCCTCTGAGGCAGCGACGACCTCGCTACCGGGGTTTTAGCTGGTATTACACGTTCTCCATACCGCTTTGGCCATAGCCGTTCCACCTTCTACTCTTTTCAATGCCAAACGTTTATCTGTGTATACGTCAGTGTTTAGTGACAGTATACTTCCATATGCTACCCGCATTTTGGTAAACCTGGAGCCTGTTGTTGCTGCCCACAAGCATCGTCCTCTGAGCTCAAGCTGCCCCCTTATGTGCTGCGTAAAACTTTTTCGTTCTCCATTGTGCGTTAGGTTTCCGCATACAACAACAAACGGTCTACGCGTGCACAAAGCCTTACCTTGGCTTGACTCAAGAACTCATCCTTTGTCGTTAGTTAAGACGTTACTAACACATGGGATATGCCAGGGAACGTCCAACTAACTTGGTGAAAACTGCGAAAATATTTGTATTTTTTCACATCACTTCGACCGACTATATTCACTTCTGATTTCCAAAGATTATTGAACTGAGTTTTTATATAGTAGTAAATTACTTACCAAGAGAACGCTCCAATATTCCATTTCCTCTTCTGACAAGTCACCACACTCATTTTCGTGCTCTAGGTCTCCACATCCTATCCGAACTGCGTGACCTGTAACCATACGGGTGCTGGGAACCAAGTGGGCTTTTCGCAAAATCACCTTCTTTCAGACGAGTTAACGAAACCTCTTACTGTGGATACGGAGTTTTGGCATTCGACGACATCCTATGCTCCATCAGCTAGGTACCAACCCCGCAATGGCCTTGACAAACTGGATTCCCCTGAAAAATTGAACGATCTGCGACCACGGACGCGTGCATTAACCAGAGCTCGTGTCAATAACAATGCGAACCGATCGAATAACCTCAGTAGTAACAATGCTTCGACTACAACCACTGCGTTGCTGTTGAGGTCACAACGGACAGCGAGCGATGCAGCGCTCATCTGTAAAGCTTCGCCCGTTCTCGTGTCTTCCCCGATCCACTCACCCCCTACTCGAGTCGAGGTCCCCGACAGGGAGGATCGCACAGGCTCTCCTGTTCCTGAAGAACAAATCACCGCAGTAACTTCAAATCGTGGTACGTCCAAAAAACTACCATACTTGGTATTACAATGCTTCACTCCAACCACTGCGTTTCTGTTGAGGTCACAACGGACAGCGAGCGATGCAGCGCTCATCTGTAAAGCTTCGCCCGTTCTCGTGTCTTCCCCGATCCACTCACCCCCTACTCGAGTCGAGGTCCCCGACAGGGAGGATCGCACAGGCTCTCCTGTTCCTGAAGAACAAATCACCGCAGTAACTTCAAATCGTGGTACGTCCAAAAAACTACCATACTTGGTATTCTTCCCCAAACGTCAAATGTTCCGTCTTCAAGACTAGGTCCAACAATTCGTGCTCTTGAAAGTTGTACCAACGGAAATGAAGTTATTCAGTTCAGTTCCTCATCAGGATGACGGTTGGGATAATCCTGTTCGATAGGTCGTCTACCGATGGGTATCGATGGATCGACACGATGTTAAGAGCAGTGCTTTGTTACCCTGCGTTTTAGTCACCGTGGATGGTCTCCATAGGGAGCCAAATAAACGAAATGGAGAAGATGGTGTAAACATTTGTCAACTGTCATCTGTTGTAGCGAAATCAACATGATTGTTTCAGTAAGAAATGGTCGTCGCACACGACACCGAGTCTACTCCGTTAGCTGTCATTTCTACACTGAGATTTATGAATAGCTGTGACTGTTTGGTTTATGGTGATTCCAGAGGTGGCTTTCTGTGAGTGGTGCTGTAGACATTAAATTTAGGTTCCAAGAGACGTCAGTTACCAGATCGGTGGACTGTTATCCTTTATTCGTTTCGCTTCCAGTTAGTGAGCACGCGTCATCACAGCTGAAGATCCTGCTCCCCTTCTATATCTCCTTCATTTTCTTAGATGTTCACGGGAATGCGGAGTCTCCAGCTTGTACGTTTACGCAGTCCAGCTTTGGCAACCTAGCAGTATCTGAATCCTCATACTCTGTTCGGGTTGTACGAAAGCTGTGCATCGAGGATGTCACTACTAAACGATCGTCGATTGTTTTTTGACGTCAGTGTTTCTTTCCTGTAGTATTTGGTATGGATGGAAGTGCTAATGGATGACTGGTCTAGGTGATCGTTTTTGTTCGTACATCTTTTTTTAAAAATCAAGACGTGAATTTGGTTTCATCGAATCTTTCTAAAAAATGTCTCTTCTATTTACCCGTGTTGGAAGTGTTTCAGTTGATCAATAGGGACCTGCTTATTTAGTTCGTATAAAATCTATGAGACGACCATTTGAATGGGGGCACTACACACACTTTTAAAGTAGGTCTTATTGGTTCAGATGTAAGCACGTGAGGCAAAAGTAGAAGGTAATAAGTCTGATGAGCGTATGCCATTGAGTAGGATAAGCAAATTCTCTCGTTCGACTCGGATGTCTGATTAAGGTCGGGCCTCTGGTCACTAAGCACATACTATAAGCCTGGAAACTGACTTTATTTGTTCTTGGGCTTATGGTACCCGCTAGTGTGTTTAGGATTCTGTTGATCCGACCAGATAGAGTGATTCTGCCTTAGTTCTGTTGGGCGTTGCGTTGTCCTCGAGGCCCCCCTTAGATATCTATCTTCGTCTAGTCATCCTGATCTCCACACATCTGGGTTTGGTACTGTGTTTAACTGATGGGATCATTATGTTCTGTCCCTTATGCTTGGTACAATTTCTTATTTTTCTTCCTAATATAGCTCGTTTGAACGGTACGGATCGTCTTTGCTCGACTCGTCCTGCTTCCAAGTATCCAACACGTTCCTCAACCAGACGGGATACCCTTGCCTCGCACAATCTGGCCCAGTTTCGATCCCAGCTTTCGGTGATTAATTCCTACTCCTCCACGAGTAACAACAGTAATGCTCTGACCTCATCCTCAACAGTGATTTCAAACTGTCTTAGCGATACTCTTCATCCTGACTACTTGGAGGGGAAAACAGACTCCCCGCTCTTGCACAACCCAACGGTTACCACGCGGTCTTTGGACTGCCTTGGGAACAACAATTCGCCTTTGACGATTGGGGAACTTCAGGTTTTGCTGAAGAAGATCAAGGAACATTGGAATCATTGTAGCGATGCATTGATGGAAGAAGAGACGAAACGACATACCTACCGAATTGACGATGCTCGTCGGGTTCACGATTATGTGCCTTTTATCCGGGCCTACTTACGTGCTTTGGTCAAACACGATATGCTACACACCCTTGTCCTACAAGCTCTGCAGTCCGCCAATTCCGGTAGCCCCAATACTTCAGCCCTTTCTACGACAGGTAATCGGAACAGCCCCAGAGTCCCGTCCACTGGCTTCAAAACTAACTCGCGACAAAGCGAAATGGACAGTCGCTCAGCCAACAACTGCTTCACGAACTGTTCGGCTGAGCGATCCACTCCCAATCATGGTGCTACTCCTGTCAAATCAATGTTGAATTCCGTCCATCCTAATCGAACTCGTTTAAGAGCAAGGACACGACTATCGTTAACCACTCCTTCAAACTCTGTAGCAGCGCAGACTAATTCTGTTCACGTCACCAGGAAATCCAGGACCTTGAGCGAAAGTTCTACGGAAAGATTACAGATTTCTGTGACCGACGAAGGATTTCTAGATTCTGCGGTCTCTACCATTGAGGATGTACCGACTGAACAGCCACTGTTTGCCTCAGCACCCTCAAACTCACCTGCATATGTGAGCAGTGTGAATAAAACGCTCGCTCTGTCTGAGTCTGGCAATTGCCAATCCGAAGGTGATAGTACATCTGAATTGCCGACAGATTCCCATTCTACTGCAAGCACAATTGGCGTGAAAAACCCGTCCGATTTTGGTGAAGCCGGCTCGGTACCTGCAGTTTCCTATTCACCCGTGATGTCCTCAACCAATACAGGTGCTTCTTACTCATCCTGTGGATCACCCCCTCAATCTCCCCAGTCCACAAGTTCTTCAAGGTCAACCTACCTACGACCGCGCCCATTCATTTCCAACACACAAACTGTACCAGAAGGGAATATTTCCCGAAAATCCTTAAGACCACGAGCACAGGTGGACCAAAATGCAACAGAGAGTCAATCAGAGTCCGGTGAAAGCGATGGGCGGAAGTCTCGACCTAGTGGCAGATCTTCCCTTAGACGTAAAATCCCGTATGCACTGGTGAAAGATCTCGATGTGGGGAACGGATGTAAACCGGCTGGGTCACCCAGTACCCTTATTTCTTCTGTACCTGATCGTTTCCGCAAGCGCCGTCTATGTTAGTCATACAATCAGTGCCAGGGCTTCATGTATCCCGCTTCCACTTTGTATAACCCAGTCCTGTAACACAGAGCAGTTGAGTCCCTTCTTCATTTCACGCACACGTTTTATAAGCAGTGCGTAACTGGCTACTCTGTGTGCCCATCAATGAATGCTCTTCTCGTGTGTTCTCCGCCACTATCAACCTTTGGGGATCCGGTCAAGTGCGTTGGCGATATGTCCCAGTGAAGTAATCCAAATCTGCGCTGTTGTGATTGACTACGTTATTCTTTCACTGATCTTTCCGCGCCTCGCTCTGTTCACAGACTCTGTCTCTGTCGCACACCTATACGTGCATACCCGCGTCCGTTTCCATACAGCAATCACCCCCTCCGTGTAAATCAAAACGGACTTGGAATTCTTCGAGTGCGGGTTCCCGCCGATACTGTGTTGTCGCACTTTTTTCCTCAGTTTGTCTCGTCGCTGATTTAAGTGGATCGACGCAATTCGCACAGACCCAACTTGTGAATTTGTCAAATTCTATGTATCTCTAGCAATCAATTCTTTTGTACATTGTTCAATACTTTATTGTAAAGATCCCTTATCATCTGTTCTTCTCCGCTAACTGTTTAGCTTCTGTAGACTTGACAAGTCAGAGTTCACTGTCACGTCTTACCTGCCTGGCTGCGATCATTCAGATTAATGAACACTAGCGCTCGATCGATCAGTGATCCGCGGAGAACCACACATTTGGTTGTGGATTCCATTCAAGCGGACTGCGAAGAGTCTATTCATAGTTGACCGTGTTGGCAGCAGTTGCTAGGGTTTAAGTTCAGGTCACCAGTTTAGTGGTGGTATTCATAACACATGTTTTGGCTCAAGATTGACCGTGTGATTCGTCCATCCTTCTCGGGGACTTCAAATTTGGTTGTGCATTTTGACCATTTGCATTTTTTAAATGAGCGCCGGACATTTGGACTGTGGTACACCCATGTCTTCGGAACAACTTATCCGGTGAGAAGTATGGGAGGTTTCCCATAGCTTACTTACAAGTCGACCATATCCTGCCTTGCAACCTTTACCAATCAAGACTAGATAGAATGGGATGGTTGCTAATGCAGGCTAATTTGCACCTGCACTTTCTCAGCCATCTGGAGCTATCTTCCATGCGCACGTGTTCCCGATGGGCAAATGTGCGTGTTTTGTATTCATTTCCATTACAGAGATTCTGAAGTTGTCTTGCTCATCGTTCATCCTGGCAAATGAGGGAAATTAGGTACGAAATTTCCGGAGAGTTTCGTTGAGGCACGCAAAATGGGATATATATATATATATATATATATATATATATATATATCAAATCATTGAATTCCCCGTAAGTACTTATATGGTACGGTTAGAAAATAGATGTTGAGAAGTCGCTCGTTTGAAAACATGATTTGCATTAGTCCGGGCGCATTCGATCTTCGGAATCTTTAGTAGACCTGTTTTAACGGGAGTCTGGAGCATCTCTAGAAGGCGCAAATGTTGAGGTTTCCCGAAGGATTTTTGAAACAGTCAGTGATGATCAGGCTTATCGTGAGTTAGTCCTGTGGCGTAGGTATGGCATCAGCTTCTCTGACAAGGGTCGAGTTTACAATGCTGCGGTGCGTTCCATATTACTATATGGATCAGAAGCCTGGCCGCTGCGTGCCGAGGATGTCAAAAGACTCAGTGTTTGACCATCGATGTCTTCGGAACATTGCCCGAATCTGGTGGGAACACCGGATCAGCAATGCTGAAGTACGTCGGATGGTATTCGGAAGGAATAACTCACCCTCGACAGATGAACTGATCACACTGCATAGGTTGCGCCGGCTTGGCCACGTGTTGCGTATGCCAGTCGAGCGACTTCCTCGAAGGGCTCTTCGCACAACCAAGTGAAGGGTGGGAGAGAGCCAGAGTCGGTCAGACAATGACTTGGCAGCGAAATGTGAAAGCCATTACCAATAAACTCAGCTGCGCTGGTCTTCCTGGATGGGGACCCCGAGATGGGGTCATCGTCAGACATGGCCCATGGAATTCACAGCTACCTACCCCTCCCCCAAACCATCGGTGAACGAAACTGTGGCAGCTACAACCACTGCACGACGAGTACGTGGTTATTACAGCTGAGAATGATGATGATGAGTTAGTCCTAGTATGGTGAGCAATTCCAGGAAATTCTGGTTGCGTTTCAGAATCGAAATAAGTACTTCACATCGTGTAGTTTAGTTTTTAGGAGGGAATGCTGGTAACTCCGATTAGTTTCGCATTGAATGGGCATCCACCGTTAAAGAATTGGTGTGACGTGACCACCTACTTCGTAAGGTGTCAGGGCGAGATGGACCAAGTGGTTAGAGCACGAATTTACTAACCGGAAGATCCGTGGTTCTAACCCGACCTCCGCCACTCGACTTCCCCTGTCTAGGCTTGGGCGACCTGGCAGTATCCCAGCCCTCGTGCCTCCTTCGTGTGGCATGGCAGATAGGCACCGAAAAGGTGCCACAGCAGGACGATTATTTATTATTTACTATTAGGTGTCAGATTAGATTTAACACTCAGTGCTACGGCAGTAAAGCATCAGTGCCAACACTGATGTTGCTGTCTTTGATGATGATGAACACTCAGTGCTGCACACAGTATTTTCTCTCGTATCAGTATGATATGGTGTACAGAACATTAGGGGACCTAATTGTTTTTCGTTCTCCCCTGTCATTCAACTCGGGTCGTTAAGATTTCAACGCAACCTAACATAATTCCCCACTGATCAATTCTTGTTTTTGTCCACAACCTCCGTCACGTGTCGACAGCCGCAAAACGCCTTTGAATCTAAACTGTAACGTGCCCAATTTTCCAGGGTGTGTGACGTCCTTAATTATTCATTAATAAAAGACACCGCTTTGACACACTCTAAACTTTCTACCCGCAAGTTGCCCCCACCTTTTGTCTACAATTCTTGCTTCCAATCCAGTTGACATACTGAAGGGACCGGTGCGTGTGGCACGATTGTCCATGTGAGTCCGTATTCTACAAAATCCCACAACCACCAACACCTGAAACATGTCATTCAAGGGTTTTTAAGAAAGAAGTAATGCGCACCTGTATTTGAACGAACTGACGTACATATATAATTAATAATAGCCTTGCTAATGGGGCAGTACGCATCGTGAACTTGGAGTTCTGGTACATCATTCCTCTGACTTGGTGTTTACGGAAAATGGATTGTAACGATTCCCAGGCAATTTGATCACGGAATCTACTGCTTTTTTTTCCGTCCAGTGTAAACAAGCTCCACGTGGCTCTGGTAAGATCTCAAACTACCGAAAACTTTGAGTGTAAATTGGCTGTGATCGATTCTCTCTCTTGCTCTTGTGTAGTGTCAACAAGAAACCAAGCCGTACGCACCGTCCAGATAGCATTTTTCCGCTCACTACACGTCTTCTCCGATTTCCGATGCTCTAATATCTAATGATAGTCGCCCAGCTGTAAGACCCTTTCGGTGCCTTGCTTCCATACCACCCGAAGGAAGCAAGAGGGCTGGGTTACTGTCAGGTTTCCCAAGCCTAGACAGGAGAAGTCGAAATGCAGAGATTGGGTTCGAACCACGGACCTTCCGGTCATTAGGTTCGCGCTGCTAGCATTGAGCCACCCCAACGCCCGTAATATTTACTGCTGTGATCTGAATCTTGAGGTATTTTCGAGTTATTTGTTGGCTGACACGTGTGACCGAAAATCTACCGCAGTAGCTTGAGCACTAGATTTTGAAGTATACTGCCGGTGTAATTAGAAGCTGTGCATCTGCAATTGTGGGGGCGAGTGGCTCTAAAATCATCCATAGTTTCGAAGTTCCACGAAATTCCTTTTCGTGTAATTTGGAGCATTCATGCATTCATTTGGTGTAATCATAGATGCAGGATTAGTAATTTACAATCACTTTGATACTTACTACTCAGAACTTCGAAGGGGCGTGAAGTGCCATTAAGGCCAATCCAAACTAGAAAAGTCGGTGCGTATCACCCAGTTCGTTAGCAATCAGGATTCTAAATTAAGAATTGCAAGTTAGTCTGATGGGGCACTTCCTACAACTGGAGAAGTGACAACCAAGAAATCTGCCACAAATGTTACTCTTCCCTTGAGTAAATACCACTGGTTTCAAAAAAGATAACAGCTAAAAGGCAGGTCACCCAACTTATGGCTTCGGCAACCAAAGACGTTGAAAGAAGCCACTTAGGTCAGCGGTGTAATGCATTGGTCAGTAATTGCTTCGGCGTTACCAACAGGTGGATAGTCCGTACACTGGTCGATTGTTACAGTCGTCTGGATATACAGGTTGGCACTATAGTCAATTGTTACAGTCGTCTGGATATACAGGTTGAGCGAAATCATGCGAATTCCACTACAGACCGATTCAAGGAATAAGTTCGATTAGGTAGTATATACCATGGAACATTCCGGCAACGATGTACCCTTGATTGATATATGATGGCTGTTGCTGAGTTCTATCACTCTCGTTAAAGGCGAATCCAGTCCTTCCCGTCCGATGATTGCGCAACAGCTGTTCAGGTGAGACGTTTTGAATGAGCTATCCGTAGTACAGAGAAACTTAAAACCACTTCCAGGTTGTTTTCACAAAACGTGACCACTCATTGCGGTGATCTCTCATTGATTCAGTACACTTACTGTTCGGAATGCATTATTGTCTTCATGGTGCGTTCGGCTTAAGTGTAGCTATTGGTTAGTATTTTTCACGCAAAGATTGTTTACCAATTCATGCTCAGTAAGCCATGGGTTCTGATGACGGCACGATATTTGAATGGCCATGGATTTCGTGTTTCAGAATGAATCGGTAGGATGGTACGCGCTGGGTTCTATTCGGACAAATCACTGATTATGGTGACATGAGCACAACAGTTGAGCAGAAGCGAATTCGGTCAATCGATACTGAGCACTGGGGAGATCAACAACGATCTGATACTGTCTGAGATAAACAACGTGTCCTATTGGTGCAAGGTAAACAGTTTATGCCGGCATGCTGTGCATCAGGATGTATTCTCCGTTGAAGCCAGCCAAACCGCGCATTGGAAACAGCAACAAGTAGACTATTTGCCTGCTTTAACAATCTGGGAATAAGCCACGATGGATCCTAAGCCGCTATTGATAACTGGAGTAAATCAGCGATGGTCAGTGAATTCGCGTTCTAACTACTGAGCTATCTCGTCCTTGAAATGCAGTGATCCATTTTGAACGTGCAATCCATTATTAGGCGTCTCCTTCATTGAGCAGTTTATTTCCTAGCCCATCTCATTCAATTAATTTCGGTGACGAATTTTCCCTGCAATTCGCAGGCGAACTCCTGAGTGTTTCCTCTCGCTTACCTAATCTGACTTTGGAAGTATACCTCGCACTGTCTCAGGGAGTTTTGATAGTGGAATTCTGTCCGTGACCCCATTTGTTTTCAGCGTAGCCGAATCTTCAGTGTTCAGCCTTCAGGCCTGCATGTGCTTTTGTGTGAAATTTTGATTTTGGTTAACCCGAAAGTCGATTTTATTGAAGGAACAAATATTTCAGCGCCT